TATACAGTACCTTTATTGGATGAATCTATATTGTTATAACACTGAGTTGTGATGTCCCTGTGGGCTCTAAGAGAATTTTTATTGTGATACACAAGAATATTTGTATAGAACATTATTTTTGCTAACCTGCAAACAATGTTTAAAACAGACCATTAAAATATATGTGTTGGTTAGATGCCATCAAATCCTGCCAGTTGTACAGACCACTGTATGCCATTTCAGTTTATCCCTGGTGATGATCCACAGCTCATCCAAGGACATTCCAGTGATTTTTCTGATCCTATCATTTACTACTTCAATACTTTACGAAATTGTACTTGCCACTGATAGCTGATATTTAACTGTATATGTTTTATTTAGAATGATTATTCATCTACATTGCCCAATGAGCAAATCTTATCTGTATGTCTTAGAGACGGGGAGTAATGTATAACCACAATGACCATTGAACATCTTTTCATCTTTATGGAAGTGCAAAGTCTATCTGAAGTTGTAACTCTGCAGCCCTGCATAGGTCAGTCACATACCTTCTATAAAACAGAAGTTCTGTTCAAGCCAACAGATGCCTCCAAGATTTATAAAAGATGAGTCAGACAATTTTTAAAATCACAGGGTTTTATTTCATTTTGAATAGTCAAGAGCTAAAACAAAATTACCAAAATCTGTCAATATTTGCTGTCTAATATATCAGATTTTGGCTAGCACCAGCATAAAGAACAATACTCATATTCTGTCATTTACTTCAAAAATTATTTGCAAAATGATGTTTGCATTCAATTACAACACATTTAATGTAAGGTAACTCACAGACTTAAAATAATGGTTGCATTTAATTATCAGCAAGAGACAGATAAACCAGTAGCCAGGCTAAGGGTATCAAATGAACAACACTTCAATGTGAGATGTGGATAGACCCTGGATTAATAATGCCAGATGCACATTTCACTGCTTTGGTAATATTCTGAATGTAAAATAAATTGCATAAGAATAAGCATTTTTAAAGCACAGTCTTCCTCAATATGGTGCATCCAACTATGTTGAAACTCCATATCTGGACAGTGCCAGATTGGGGAAAGGTAACAACAGTCTTCTGGAAGGTAAACCTACATTGTCCATGGTGCAGTTGGTGCATTGTCCATGGTGCATATGTGGGGATAAGGGTAAGAATGGATACCCTGTCTATCCATGAAGCTTAAAACAGAGCAAAGAATTTAAGATGTATTTTTTTGCATCCATCCAAATTGTACCTACAAATTCCATGCAAATGTAATATGTGCTTACCCCCCCCCCCAAAAAAAAGGCAAGGAAACAAGATCCTGAGTTGGGCCATGGCTGAATCATCTGAAAAGAAATCTCTCTCTAAAACAAATGAACAAATCAACATAATTACTGTAGGTAATTCAATCCTTAGCATTCAGTAGGATACCTGGAGTAACTTCTCTGCTTTACTTTTACTAAAGACTTTCTGCCTCTATGATGAGTATCAATTTTGCCAAAAAAGGTATAAAAATGTTTGATAAGAGATTTTGCTCAAGAAAGCAAACACAGCACCATGTGGCTTATTATTAAAAAGTAACCAAAAGGAAGCTTCTGTGAGGTTCGTGTATACCTGGTGCGCTACGCTTGTTAATACAGTATAAATCAGTTATGGCGAACCTTTTGGAGACCGAGTGCCCAAACTGCAGCCCAAACTGCAGCCTTAAATTCTTTGCTCTGTTTTATTGCAAAGTGCCAGGCTGCATCAGCATTGTGGTGCCCCCGGGGATGTGGGGGGCGTGGCCCACCGGGTAGGTGTGGCTGTGGTTACGGCAGACTGGATGGGCGTGGCCAGGGTGGGCATGGCCACCTCGATGTTGCTTGTGGGGAGGATGCCTGTGGGGGCCAGCAGGGTTGTGGGAGATCCAGGCAGTGGTGGGATTCAGCGGGTTTGGCAGAACCAATACCTAATGTATCGTTCAGTTCGGCGAACTGGTTGTTAAATGGCACTTGAAAAAACCGGAGTCCGTGTGCGGAGAATTGCAGCTCCTGTGCTGCCAGGCTGGTCTGGTGGGCGGGATTACCTTCAGTCTTCCCTGCTGCTGTATTGGTAGCTGGTGTTGCCCTCCCGAGAGGCGGATGCGGTGATTGATTGGCAGCCACGCCACAAATGGGGATTGATCATCCCCCAAACCCCATCGCTGTCAAAGGAGGAGGAGGAACGGGGAGAAGAAAGAGGGAAATTGGCTAAGCCAGTCAGGCACCGAAGCCCCTCCGAAAAAAGCGGAATCCGTGTTCACACTTATGACTGCTGTATCCCCATGGTCACGTCATGGTCATCAAAATTCAGAGGCTTGCAACTGGTTCATATTTATATGATGGTTGCAGTGTCCCTGGATCATATGATTACCTTTTGCAACCTTCTGACAAGCAAAGTCAATGAGGAAGTCAGATTCATTTAACAGCTATGACAAGGAAGGTTGTGAAATGGGGCAAACTCACTTAACAATTGTCTCGCTTAGCAAGATAAATTTTGGGCTCCCCTGTGGTCATGCCGAGGACTACCTGCACTGTAGAACTAAAAATAATACCAAAAAGAGTTGGAGTATCTTTCTTATGAGAGAAGGGTCCAAAATGTTCGTGATTTGAAAAACAACAGGAAACAGTAAGTGAAATACAAAACTATGCATGGTGAAAATGTAAAGAGAAGGAAAATTTTCTCATTGACAACAACTTGCATTTGGATTTATTCAATGAAAACAATAGGAAATTAACAACAGAGGAAAGAAAATATTTCTTATAAGTACTGATGTACAGGTTTTGCTGTAAAAAGACATGGTCAAAGCGACTGCGTATAAAATGTCTTTTTAACAAGAACCAGATAAATTTGTAGAGAATAAGTTAATATTTATGAACCAATTGCCTGCTTCTGTTCCAGAATACTTTTGAATATCAGCTGCCTCATCTGATAAAATCAATCTTCTCCCCATCTCTTCAATATCTTCCTGACTAGGAAGTAGGTCTAAGTATCCATAGGTACACAAGGTCAGCCCTGGATTAACCATTAAGTAAAATAAGCATGTGCTTGAGGCACCAAGGGAAGGGGAACACAGCAGTTTTTTCCCTGGTTACAGGTAGTTCTCGACTTACAGCAGTTCATTTAGTGACTGTTCGAAGTTACAAGGGCACTGAAAAAAGTGACTTATGACTGTTTTTCACACTTATGACTGTTGCAGCATCCCCAGGGTCACGTAAACAAAATTCAGATGCTTGGCAACTGGTTCATATTTTTGACAGCTGCAGTGTCCCGGGGTCATGGGCTCACCTTTTGCAACCTTCTGACTAGTAAAGACAATGGGGAAGCCAGATTCACTTAACAACCATGTTATTAACTTAACAACTGCAGTGATTCACTTAACTATTGTGGCAAGAAAGATTGCAAAACGGGGCAAAATTCACTTAACAAATGTCTCGCTTAGCAACAGAAATTTTGGGCTCAATTATGGTTGTAAGTCGAGGACTACCTGCATTAGGTCCTTAACTTTTTCACTGCCATGCACGAAATGACTTCCCAGCGTTTACTGAGTCTTAATAACTTGTCAGTTAAGCAATGGGAGGGATGAAAGGCACCATTGTCGCCATGCTTAGAGCATCAGTCAGCCTTAATCTGGCCCTGTAAAAAGCACACACAGTAATCATTGGGATGATTCACAATTAGGTCACTTCAGGAAAGTTGCCCTTCAGGCTAATCCCTCAGTTGTAAAAGCATCCTTTCCCTTTTAATGATTGCAAAATGTCAAGACTAAACCGTACTAAGGGGCTCCAGGTGTCCCTTGCCCTACTCTTCCATACTACTTTGGCGAATTACTTGTAAAATTTAGGTTCCTAATAGCAACATATATGCTAAAAGTTCCTTTTTTAATTTAAAAACACATACATTTCTAAAGTTCTAATTCTTGGAGTTTTCAATTAACCCCCATGTCACTAAATGTCGCCTATCATGATTTTAAGGAGAATAAAAATAGTTCTCATGCTAATTAATCAGATGCAGGCAAGCTTTTGAAACATGTAATAAAGAATATCCTGTTAAGTGAAGACTCTTATTTGTACACTTTCATGTCCAATTTAAGGACTTCCCAGGGGGCACCTGCCAGTGCATTGTGGGAAAAGGATACTAGATTGTTCTAGTTATATTTCTTAAACAATATTATGAATTAAGGAAAATTACTGACAGGTTCAAGAACAAAAAACAAAAATCAAGCAGACCAGCTGTTTTCAGAAATACTGCTCTTTTGTACATGATTGAAGATAAAAATTGTCAATCTGAACGAATAGATAATTTAAAGGATATTACCTCTGTTGCAAGACTACATAATTATGCTCTCTAACGAAGTTCTGAATTGGCTCTTATTTAAGATTTGCTAGTAATTAATGTTAACACAGCATTAGTAGTTACAGAATGAACAAATGAACAATTTTCTATTTTGTCATGTATTTAAGCATGATAATAAAATCATAAATGCATTAATTGTGCATTTTAAATAATATAGTCTGGTTCAATTAAAAAGTAGAATTGATGACAGGTGAAGTAGGATGGACTGATGTTAAAAATTAATTTCTGAATCAAAATGCAGCACTATGGTTTTTTTTTCAGAAGGGGCTCTCCTGAGTTACACAGATCTTGCTCCCAAGTATAGAGCTGCAGTTTCCTTTCTGGATCAGAGACACTTAGGTATGGCCTTCAAAACACAGAGGAATATGATTCAGGAAATATTTTGTGCCCACAAAGGACCAAGGAAGATTTAAGGCTTGGAATAAATGCTTCAGAGTAATCCCATTTCTCATCATCATTGGCTAAAAGTAATTCATTCTCACCATTGCCATAAAGCAGAAAATGACACATTCCAAAACCCAGACTATTTGTCACTATGCTGATGTAGTAGAAAGAAGGACTCAGATTTGCCCAGATTTCTCTCTATACCCAGACACACACACACACACACACACACAAGGAAAAGAAGAAAGGAGATAGAGTGCTGCTCTTTCTGGAATATTCTGAGCTCTGTTCCTGACAACACCCTATAAAGGTTTTTGTCCAGGAGAAGAAGTCCATAATGGGATAAGGCACCAAGTCCAGGCAGTTTTCACTCATAAACCCTTATTAAAATAGGCAAAAGTCACTTTGTCCCCATGTTCAGCTACGATTCGTTCTCTGAGTTCAGGCTCCAGGTGCAAAACTGCAATTGAACTAGAAAGAAAAAAGAAGAAAACACATTGTTCCCCTAAGTCAGGAGTGTCAAACTGCCGGCCCGGGGGCCAGTTGCATCATGCGGAAGCCGCGCCCACCCCAGCTTCGGCAATGCGAAAAAAGTCACGCGTCACAACATGTCACGTGACATGGCGAGTTTGACACCCATGCCCTAAGTGCTAGAGACTGCTTGATACTGGCCCAAAGACAGAGTGTTATTGGGTGATGTAATATTGGCAAAGGAGACAAAAATATTATGAGCTCTGTCACAGACAATTGTGGTGTAAGACTGAACTGATCATTTTACTTGCAAAATAAGGGCTTTCCTCACTGTTTCCGCTATGAAATGAGTGCTGCTTCAATAATCAAGCAAGGTTGAATTGAAATGACAAGACTTGGGAAGTGGGTGCCAGTCACTTCTTCGTGCAGTGAGCTGTCTTAGTCCAGCCCTGACCATGGAAAAGCACGTAGAATCCACAGAATGTCCTAACCAAGCCTTCCTGTTGCAAGGGTCTATGACAACTTGCCATGGCCAACTCGCCATGGGACAATTCACTGTGGGACAAGAGTTATACTAATATCAAAGAAATGGTGGACTAGAACCATTAAAGGATGCAAAAGGAGGGGCAGAATGGAATATGAATGACAAACATTAAAATAATTGTTTATTTATTTTAAATTATTAAATTGAATTGTTAAATTGTGCCACTGTGAGTTGTCCTGCTGCGAGTTGGCAGTGGCAAGTTGTCCCGCAGCAAGTTGGCTGAGGTGAGTTGGCCGCAGCCGCAGTTGGCTGTGACGAGTTGTCCCATTATGTTGCTGCAAGGCCTCTTTTTACCGCGGGCCTAGGATTCAAACACAACTGAGCAGAACTAACATGCGAGTCACAACCACAGCTCCTTGTGGCTGTATTTGGGGACAAATAATGTACTGTTCGTTTTCAAAGTTTATCTTTAAAAGAGAATATGTACAAATGGGCAGAAATATATTATAGAAAAGAATGGCTTCCAATATGTAGGTGAGACCTCCTGTCATACATCAGCACAAATAATTCCTGTCTAGAAAAGAAGGAATCATTCTTACATTAGCTTTTGCAACTTTGTGCAGTCTGGAAGCATTGGAATAGCCCTCGTCATCCAGAGCCAGCATAGCCATTGCTGAGGATGATAGGACTTGCATCCAAACTAATAACTGCATAGCTGTGTGCAGTTAGCCACAATGAAAGCAACATGATGAAAAGTAAGGGGTAGATATTGTGTCACAACACAGTTTGCTCACTCAGTTTCAAGGATTCCTATGGATAACTTTATTTCAAATATGGAGTGATGGTCCTGCTTCACATGCCCCACCCCACCCCTGTCCCAGGCCTTCCTACTTGAGATTATATCAAAATTGTATAGGGCAGTCAGGAGGGATAAAAGGACAGAAAAGAGATGGGTACCTTCTCTGTGGAAAAAGCGCACAGGCGACTGGGACCATGAACACAAGGCTGCAAGGCAAAGGCAGATTATTAAAAAGAAAGGACAACATATTTTTTTCTCCATAGGGAATCCAGAATTGCGCTCTTAGCTTCAAAATAGCCAAGCAAAAGTTATATCTTTGGCAGGATTTACAATAAGGTGCACTGGATTTTAAAGCAGTCCGATGTCCATTCCCACATACAATACAAATATATCCCTTTTCCACATATAAACACAGATGAAATCTGTATTTAACCATGGTTGCTTGACCAAGCATTAAGCCCTTGCTTGTTAAATATCCCACACATAATTCTAAGCCATAAACATAGTTTTCCATCCACAGTGCTTGAGTTTATATTATATCTTAATGCCATGATGCAAAAAATGTAGTCTTCCAGTATCTTTTGTAACCCTCCCAGATTCCAAATAAAATGGGTGCCTTTTCATAAATCACTAGGAATTACAGCTTTGAAGCAATCTCTCATACGACACTGGCTTCTGAAAGTAATGCAAGATGCAGAATACTTACAACCCTCCAACAAGAACTGTTTGCAAGGGAGCATGGAGAACCTGGATTTTCTGCCAAGAAAATAATACATGTGAGATGATGCCAAGAAAGTAAGAATTCAAACTTTCAGTTCCTAGAATTAGGGCTGAGATCATAAAGAGAACTAACAATACAAATCTCTTTTCTTTTGGGAACCAAGAGCACAAAGATCTATAAAAATCTACAACAAGCCTCTACCAATTTAGGGTTCAGTATGGATGTGAAAGTTGGACCATAAGAAAGGCTGAGCGACAAAGAATTGAGGCCTTTGAACTATGGTGCTGGAGAAGACTCCTGCGAGTCCTTTGGACTGCAAGGCGTTCAAACCAGTCAGTCCTAGAAGAGATCAACCCTGACTGCTCTTTAGAAGGCCAGATCCTGAAGTTGAAACTGAAATACTTTGGCCACCTAATGAGAAGGAAGGACTCACTGGAGAAGGGCCCAATGCTGGGAAAGATCGAGGGCAATAGAAGAAGGGGACGACAGAGAATGAGGTGGCTGGATGGAGTCACTGAAGCAGTAGGCGTGAACTTAAATGGACTCCAGAAGATGGTAGAGGACAGGAAGACCTGGAGGAATGTTGTCCATGGGGTCACGATGGGTCGGACACGACTTCGCAATTAACAACAACAACAACAATCAGCAACATGCTGATATGCTTAAACAATATGCTTAGCCAGTGAGGAGCTGCTATCCATGTCTTGACCTGGTGTCAAGAAGCTTTTAAGAATTGAATGGGACAAAAAGGCTGAATTCAAGCAAGGGCAGAGTAACTGCCTGTTCACTGAGGCACTCTAGCCGCTCCACTGTTGTCTCTCAAGGAATGGCGCTGCCCCTAAAGGAGCAAGTCTATGATTTTGGGGTCCTCCTGATTTGCGGCTTCTGCTGTGTAAGCTGATGGAGACTGTGATCTGTCCAAACGTTGTCCATTTGGGACACATCCCTACACATCAAGATTAATGCAATATGGCAGTGTTTCTCAACCTTGACCATTTTAAGGCATGTGGACTTCAACTCCCAGAATTCCACAGCCAGCAATGCTGGCTGTGGAATTCTGGGAGTTGAAGTCCACATGCCTTAAAATGGTCAAGGTTGAGAAACACTGCAATATGGTATACTTGGGGCTGTCTTAAAAGACGACAAGACTTCAATAAGGCCCGAGTCTAGAATGGAGTTACCGGATATTAGTTGGCTCTTACATTTTATCTGTATTCCAGTTTCTGCAGTGGCTTTCTATTAGCTCCTGGGCATGCACATCAAAGGGCAGGTCATAAACCCTCTATGGCTCTGCAGTGAAATACCTGCAGGACAATTTCCTTCAGGCGGAATCAACTCACCCAACTTGCATCTGGGAGAAACTGCTGGGAATCTTTCTGTTTACTATACAGAGTAGAGTCTTGTAGGTGCTGCTTTTTAGTAGCAGCCCTTATATTACAGAATTCTTTCCTATTAGAAAACAAGTTGGCTCCAGTTTTGACCTACTAGAAAGCTTTGAAAACTGAGTTATTCTGTAAAGCTTATGATGAATAATACAATGCCTAAATCTGTCTGCTTTTATTGTTTTCTTTAGTTACTGTGGTTAGAACTTGGGTTGTTTTAGTTTTTTTATTATAGATGTTTTAATTTATTAAATAAATGACCATTAGATAAATTCTGATAGCATGCTAAGCTCAATCCAACCGACCCCAGTATGATTTACTGTGGTATGCAAGTATAATAAAGAAGCTTTTTCCGGTATTCTACACAGTGGTGGGATTCAGCCAGTTCGCATCACTTTGACAGAACTGGTAGCTAATTTTTTGTTGCCCAGGCCCAGAATGGACTTCCAGAAGCGGCATCCACACAGAGAATTGGTTGTTCACATATCTGAATCCCACCACTGATTCTACATAATTTTGATTAGTAGCAACTAGATGCTTTCAGGGTCTTTTTAAAAAATCGTAACAACAAATAATGTACGTTATTTATATAATAAATATACAGACTACCTATTTTATATAGATGACCCTGGAGAGATAACAATTAAAGCCAAGTAAAAAAACAATAAAAACAACCAAAAAGTAAAAATAACTTGCTTCAATTGTTCTGTTTTCTATTGGAGGCTTGCCTTATAATAATAATAATAATGAAGTTGGAAGGGATCTTGGAGGTCATCTAGTCCAACTCCCTGCTCAGGCAGGAAACCCTATACCATTTCAGACAAATGGCTGTCCAGTCTCTTCTTAAAAGCTTCCAGTGTTGGAGCATTCACAGCTTCTGGAGGCAGGCTGTTCCACTGATTAATTGTTCTAACTGTCAGAAAATTTCTCCTTAGTTCTAGATTGCTTCTCTCTTTGGCTAGTTTCCATCCGTTGCTTCTTGTCCTGCCTTCAGGTGCTTTGGAGAATAGCTTGATTCCCTCTTCTTTGTGGCACCCCTGAGATATTGGAATACTGCTATCATGTCACTCCCTCATCCTTCTCTTGTTTTTCTTGTTTCTGCTGGCAGCAGTAGATTTGCTATTGAGTTATGTGCAGATGATCTATTTTGAACCTTTAACACAGGGGTCTTCAAACTTGGCCCTTTTATGACTTGTGGACTTCAACTCCCAGAATTCCTCAGCCAGACACTGGCTGAGGAATTCTCGGAGCTGAAGTCCACAAGTCATAAAAGGGCCAAGTTTGAAGACCCCTACTTTAACAAATGTAATATATTGCCAAAGTGAAGACTATGTAGAACTTCTGGTAGCTATCTAGTTATCTGCATAATTATCTAAAATTTCTGACCCCTTATTATTTAACAACACCAAGAACAAACTAATTCATTCCATTTTCTGGGTAACTTACCTTCATGAATGGATATTTCTCTAATGCCTCCATGATAATAGGCAACAAAACTAAAATGAAAAAATGATTTTATTTTCATTGGATCAACTCTGTCCCACATCTCCACTCAGGGATATAATACGTAAGATACACTGGAGTGGCCCACTACTAATCATTCTGTGATTTACAAGAACTTTCTTCCTGTGTGCTGGGATAATACTTAATAATCCTAATTTATCCTTATTTAGGGGAACATAATGCAACATGTAGATATGTTACAAAAAATCTGGTAGCTTATTTCTCAAGAAAGTAGAACACAATATCATTCAGTAACAGCTTTGATCACACCTGTGAATGTTTATACTATGGCTCATAATAGCATTTTAAAAGGTTTATAATCAATACATGGTCAAATGCTTACCATACTTGAAGCTAGGCGTTTTAACAAACTCCCTTTCATGGATTATGCCATGCACATACCCACCCATACATAGAGTTAAGATATTGTAAATGGATTTTGCTCTAAACTTTTAAATCTGAATCTTAACAACATAAATTAATTAATACTACACCTTAGAAATTCCTCTATCTGGCATCTGTAAATGAGTAATTAAAGCCCCAATCATCCCCAGTTGGCTGAAAGTAATAGAACATTAGCCATCACCTTGAAGGGTGCCATAGGGGAAGCTAATTATGATTTTAATGTGGAGCAGGGTCTAACTAATGAACACTTACTAGCTTGTAAACTTCATAACAAATAAGAGCCAATCCTAAATATAGTTTCAAGAGCCCTCCAGCAGAACCCACTAGAAGAGCCTTCGCCAACAGAGAGTCCCCTATGTGAATTCCCAGGATACCCAACCAACATAGCAGCAATCAACTTGGCTGGGAGTCCTGGTGGCGGTCACCAAGTTGCAAGCTGTTGCACTAGAGGACAATGCAAGGAAGTTGAATGGTGAAATGTACCTCATGATATCAATGACATGACTAATATACTTGCATCCAATGTCAAAGCAAAAGAATGAAATGCTGAAGTTAATGTTCTGATATCAATGATGCACATTTCATCGTTTTCTACCGTGTTTCCCCAAAAATAAGACCTGGTCTTTTTTTTTCTTGCCTCCAAAAGAGGCACCAGGTCTTATTTTCAGGGGGTGTCTTTTCCATGGTCTCACCTTGCAGCGGCAACACCGACAGCCCCGCCCAGCTAGCCCACTTCTTCTGCGGCTGAAGGAAATGCCTCTGCAGCTGAGAATGGTGCTCCGGCCTGCATTTCACTGTCAGCAGCCTTCCGGAAAGGTCTCTGTAGCCGAGAACCGAGCTACGGATTGAATCTGTAGCTTGGTTCTTGGCTGCAGAGGCCTTTCTGGAAGGCCTCTGACGGCAAAATGCAGGTCAGGGAGCGCCGAAGAAATGGGCCAGCGAGGTGAGGCAGGTGTCGATTCATGGGAGGCCTGGTTGCAACAGTAAGAGGGTGCGGAGCACATGGGGCAACCCCACCCCCCCACCCCCGCCCTAGCTTGATTTTTAGGCATGCGCCTTGCCCCAAAACTAGGGCCTATTTTGGGGATAGGGCTTACACTAGCCCCCCCCCCCAAATTAAGCTAGGGCTTATTTTCAGGTTAGGTCTTACTTTTGGGGAAACACGGTATTAAAAATTTGTACTGGATGCTTATGTTCTGATGCCTGCCTCTAAATTAACATGCCAAACTACAGTCCAACAAAAGAGACATACTTAGCACTTACTCATGCCAGGAGCAGCCATAGCAATTCGGGAAACCACCACCTGAGTTATCCCCTTGATTGCAGCTCTCTAAAACAAACAAGCAAACAAACAAACAAACAGCAATGACACAGTATTCACTGTAGAATATCCAGCCTCAGAAGTAGGGCAATGCTGGTGGGACAATCCTAAATGCCAATTTCCCCAGACCTTATCTCAACACACTTACTAGGAATGCTTATTAAAGCCAGTGATACCTACTGTTGGAAAGCAGTAGTTCAGGAGTATTCAGCTGCATTTAAAACTACAACATATTAAAGACAGAATATTTTTGTTAAAAAGCACTCAGAGAGAGCTAGAATATTTTGATCTGGATCATAGCTGCATGTAAGAAAGGGCAGGTAAATTTTGTTAATTTTTTTAAAATTAATAATGCATTCACATAATCTAAAAATAGTGGAACAATGTGAGATCAATCCATTAAATGCAAATACTCCTGTTAACCAAGACAATATTTACATTTGTCCAAGGAGATTTTAAATAAGTTTAAGTACATATTTTATTGGTTAGTTACATATTATTTATTGGTTAGTTACATATTATTAGGAAGGCAATCAAAAGGCAGTAAAAGAAACTAAACTGTTTTTAACATATTTATTCATTCAATGTGGATGCTACCCGAGTCCAACTATTTTCAAACAACTTACAGCAGTGTTTCTCAACCTTGGCCATTTTAAGGCATGTGGACTTCAACTCCCAGAAATCCACAGCCAGCATTGCTGGCTGTGGATTTCTGGGAGTTGAAGTCCACATGCCTTAAAATGGTCAAGGTTGAGAAACACTGACTTACAGAAAAGAAAGAATTAAAACCTAAAACAATAAAGCTCCAGACAGCAAAATTTGGCAATTCTATTGGTCTCCAGTCTTCCTTAAAGATAAATCTGCTATTAAAGAGAATGTTTTATTCATTTGGCTTCTAAAGCAAGTATATATAAGGAGCATTATAATATCTATGCTCCAATCTATACATTATAGGGAACGCAGCAATGCATACGTAATCATCTCCATTTCTCCCACCAAGCAAGGCAGATATACTCTTGCAGAGACACATTTTTAAAACTTTCCTATTGACCACATGGAAATTAGAGCATTAAATCTGTCCAAAAAAGAAGCTCTCATGTGTGGCAAACACAAGATATTAAAGAAGTAATTGTTTTAGTGAAAGGTCCTCCAGATGGACTGCCACCATAATAGGTGGGGGTTGTGTTCAGATGCAGGTGGTCTTCGACTTACAATAGTTCATTTAGTGACTGCTTGAAGTTACAACTGCACTGAAAAAAATGTCTTATGACTGTTTTTCACACTTAATGACTGTTGTGGCATCCCCATAGCCACGTGGTCAAAATTCAGACGCTTGGCAACTGACTCATATTTATGACGGTTGCAGTGTCCCAGGATCATGCGATGCCCTTCTGCGATTTTCTGACAAGCAAAGTCAATGGGGAAACCTGATTCACTTAACAACCGATTTGCTAATTTAACAACTGTCGTGATTCACTTAACAACCGATTTGCTAATTTAACAACTGTCGTGATTCACTTAACAACTGTGGCAAGAAAGGTCATAAAATGGAACAAACTCACTTAACAAATGTCTCAGTTAGCAATAGACATTTTGGGCCTAATTGTAGTGATAAGTCAAGGACTACCTGTATTTCTAACTATCAGTATGGAATATATCTTGCATCAGTTCAGTTTTAGTTCTTTCAGTAAGATCAAGTAAGATCAAATATGGGGCTTACAGTTTACAATATGTAAGATCCACTTCAATGCTTTTCTTCCAGGACAAACAACAAAGCTATCCAAAAGGACTAAAGAGGCAAGGGAACCATAAGTAAAAATAAACTTTAGCGAGAATTTTCAACAATGGAGCTGCATGTGAGTACTCAGAGAATCTAGTCTAAATTCCAGATGCAATAAAGTCACTCAGAAGAACTCTTAGAAATGTAGACTGTGCTGGTTCTGAAGGCTTGGAACTTTATAATTACAAACCTTCAAGCCAAATGGAAGCCTACACTAAAAATATTTATAGTGAGACAGATATAGTTACCATCTCTGTTCCCAGCAAAATGTAGATTCTAAACTGTGTTCAAAGCTGTCATTATCTTTCCAATAATATCTACATCTTGCAAGCCTCTCTGGAAAGACCTTTGTTTTGGCACAAAGGAACATTGACCTTTACAATATGGGTCAAGAACTTAAAGGAAGAGTTTTAAACCTACTTGTGTCTGAGATAGGCCAGATGCATCATCAGCACTTATGACTGAAATAGATTTATTTGCAGCTTGGATGATGGAATTTTATTTTTTGTAAAGGGTTTGAACTAGAGAATTGTTATACATTTTGACAAAAAAGGAAAACTAGGATACAATTTACTTAAACCTTTTGAACTGAAATTGGGGAAATCTAAAAAAATATATTTAATCTGCACTAAGGTATTTTCATGTGGCTTTAAAATCAGTAATTGTTGACCATTGATCTACTCTATAGAAGAGGCTGTCGGTTTTATCCAGAGCTTGTACATAGGGATTGAATCAAATGCTGCATTTAAATAAATAAAAGCTGCAAAAAGATGCTTCACGGACAGCTGATTTTCAACTAACTAGTTCAAAATAATACACTGGTCAAGACTTGATTTTCCTGTCATAAACCAAGAAACAGCTCAACTTTCATCAAACACCTCATAGTGACCATCATAGTGATTGAAACCAAGATAACTATCTCAGAAGGCTCATTTTAATCCTGCATTTTATTTCTCTCAGTGGCCATTATGGAATGCATTCAAAGTACAGCCAATACGCTCCTAATTGTTGGGCATCAGTATGGTGACTTGAAAGGTAGTTAGTTTGCACAAAATAGCATAAGCATGCTTGAAGTTAAACTGGGTTTGGTTGCAACTGCGACATCTGTGCCAAGCATACCAAAAGAGATTAGTATCATGTACTTAAGAGCCGTGGTGGCGCAGTGGTTAGAATGCAGTACTATTTCTGCTGTCTGCCAGCTGCCGGCAGTTCTATTCTCATCGACTCAAGGTTGACTCAGCCTTTTATCCTTCTGAAGTCAGTAAAATGAGGACCCAGATTACATTGGGGCAATATGCTGACTCTGTAAACTGCTTAGAGAGGGCTGTAAAGTATTGTGAAGCGGTATATAAGTCTAAGTGCTATTGCTATTATCGCTAACAGGGAATGCTTCATGTGATATAGGTTGGTAATCTAATCCACAACTAGTATATTTTACTAAAAACATTTTGTGAAAATATCATTTGACCCCGGGGCATACTGAGTGGCTGCAGGTAATATCCATGGGGCCCTCTGATAACTGTGACTTGGAATGCAAAAGGAATAAATAGCAGGGTGTGACTTAAAAATAAAATGAAAGAAAAAATGTGTGTCTGTATAAGCAAGAAAAGGAATATTGTAACAGGTCTGCTACTCCTCTATGGGTTTCCACCACTGAGACTATCTTAATTTTCTACTTTAAAAGAAGCATCTCTACCTCTAATCTTCACTAATTCGGCTCCATCATCCTAATTGTCTGACAGCTGATTGCTCCCAACAAGAACTCTGCTTTGTTTGCTCCCTATCCTATATGCATGGAACTGATTTTCTACTGGTAGAAGTAACCATGGCACATACTTTAATTTTTAATTAAAATTTATAAAACCAGTATTTGATTATAAAACAATATTACAAAAGGAAATACAGAATACCAAAACAGTCAAAATGTATTTTAGAAAAAGGGGAAAAAGCAAGGGTTTGATTGTCCCATGCCGCTTTTATATCAGTTGCTATGGCCATCAATTCTATTTTTGAGTAATGCTTTTAATTATGTTATTAAATAATTTTATTATAATATTTTATCAGTTACCAACTTTTATTTTACCATAATTTTAGTCCAAGCATAGTTTTGCTCTACTGGACAGAAGAGTGGCAGGAAGTATAATAACAACAAAACAGACTGTTTCATAACATCATTAGCAATTCTGGTGTTTCTAAGAGTTCTAGTTCCAACAACTAAAAAGACATAAATGAGCTAACAATTTTGCATTATGAATCATACATCTTACCCTGTTTTATCCCTGCCTCCACTTTCTCTGTTATCTCCCTTGTGTCAAACTTTATATTGTAAATTCCTGTGAGCAGGGACCTGTCCTCTGGTTATCGGTAAAATGCCATGAAAACTGATGCCACTGTATAAATAAACAATAAATAATAATACTAGATACAACTTCTCTAAAACAGCTTGTACAGAAGGTTATGTACTAAGGGTAAAGAACTCCCAATATATAGAGAGATCTGTTACTTGGAATACTGGTAACAAAGTAGGAACATTAAAGCATCCCAAAGAACATTAAAGAATCTACAAAGTGTATGATTTTTGCTTTTTTGAGTGGTAATGGTGGTAATAATTTTCTTTGTCAAAGGAACATAATGAAGAGGTCTCAGAATTATGTTTGGGAAAGTAGTACAAACTAATGGTAGATATTCACTACAGATAGTCTAGATACTTCAAGAATGCCAAAAGTTCATTATTATCCTCATTCTTTATATTTCATTATATCTTGATGAAGTAGGTTGCTGCCTTCAGATATAGCATAAACCTCCCATGGCTCTAAATCAGTGTTTCCCTACCTAAGGAATGTCCAGATGTATGGACTTCCAGAAAGTCCAAGCCAGAATACCCATTCTGAAAATTCTGGGAATTTAAACAGACATATCTGTATGCTGCTAAGAGTGGGAACACAACTTTACTGTAACCCCAAATTCCTCAGTCACAATTCTTAGCATTCCCACTAATTGGGAATTCTGGGAGTTATTAACCCAATACATCTGGAAGGGTATTAGGCTGGAGAAGTCTACACTGGACAGTTCAACAACTCCAAGCTGCTCTTTATTTAAGAAATGTTGATCTTGCCATCTACTTCTTTATCTGAAATAATCATTATGCAAGTTTGTGGAAGGCCAAAAAGAAAACAAAACAAATCCTCAATAGATAGCACTTGCTGAAACCTGAGGTATCAGTATACAAGGCTCTCCTTAGGCAGTCAAGCACATACTGTAGAGAAGATGATTCTAAATGTTCTTGTTTATAAAAAGAATAATAATAAACCAATTCTTGAATCTCAAATTCCCAAGATAATGGTACTTACCCTGGACTTTCCCAGAGTATTGTCATTTTCGTCTGTCACCGTGATCCCATTAATGAGTTCCCTAATGCAGACACAAACAGATGACCTTAGACATTAAGATCAACCATCTAGATGTGGGGGAGGGGGGTTGTACTACTCAAGGAAGCATACTAAATGCAACCATTCCTTTTCTCCCCACCAAAACTAATCTATGAGATGAAGAGGATCAGGAAAGAATGGTTGGTCCTAAGTCACCCAGCCTTCCTTGTCATTTTTAAAAATGCAGCAGGGGCACTGTTACATTCAGTTTAAATCAAGAAACTTGAATAAACATCTTTGCAGGAATGCAAAGCTTCATCAGCATAAGAATAATTATGTTGTGGAGAAAGTCCAACCACTTGAGCTACTGCGGTAGTATGTGACACCGAGGATAGTACCCTGCTGCCTCCTAGTGAATCCTATTCCTAATATCAACAAACATTCTGAGGATTTATATACTCAGCAACTCCAAATAGTAATTTGAATGTCAAAATGAAAATAAGACCTGCGTAAAATGAAGAAGGTGGCAATTTTTAAAAAAGTATTCATCAATATAAACCCATCATGGTATTTATCAATGGAGGCACAAATTGTTTAGGAATGAATTAACTTAAGCCAGAGCAAGCTGGTAAAAATCTGCTGTTCTGTATAATCTTTTCCATTTTCCAAATGCTCCTCAAACTTCCAGATCCGATCCTGTATGGTCCATGGTTCTCCCACTGCGGCTGTTGTAAACACTTGTTATAGTTGGCCCACACATTCAGTTAGCCAATTAGTAGTGTGCCAAAATTGCATTTCTATGGCACTCAGACCCACTTGTTTCACTGGGCTTGTTCTGCATTAGCACCATGATTAAAGTCATGCTTGCTTTCTGAGTAGTCATTCTAAAGCCCAATATGGGAGACACTGTGATGGCATCGGATTTTTAATGAAGGTGCTAAGATAGTTTGTCAGTTGTGGGGAAAGAGCACCAAGATTTAGTATGACTTCCTGCCAGTCAAAAACAGGACAAGCTGTAACCCCAAGAACAACAGTATCTCACAATCTGGGAAAGACAAGATTTACAATGTAAAATTTTGGCTAGCTGTGATGGAAGAGAAGCTGCTGAGTAAGAACATATTCATTGTGGAAGTGCAACACATGACACTCTGAGAAATATTCTTCAATGTTGATCAACTACACCAACTTCACAACTACTTAATATGTAAGTAGTCTACATCTGATCAAATGACTGCAATTTTAAACAGAAGATCTGAAAAGCACCATGCAGCTTTCATAATATCAAAGCACACTTATTGTAATGTTTCATATGGGACTTTGTGCTTCCTATCCATCATTAACTTTTTTCTAGACAGGGCAATAGTGACATCTTTCTGCTATGTTTTATTATGTATAATTAAAAAAATAATTTTTATTTGAATAGCAGGTGCCAAAATCTATTCTTATGACAATCAGACTAATCTTTAATTATTTTCTCTCTTATTAACTATTCCTGGTTATACACAAAATGAAAAGGCAGTTATGGAGAAAAGCATCATTTAATTAACATTTTCTATTAAAAAAGTAAGTACATATTATCATAAAGTGATAAAAAGATTGGTGGCATTTCAATCTAGCAGAATAGATTTTTCCATTTGTCCCCAAATCACTCATGCCCTAATTATCAAAGTGACCCAGTCTTTATCTTATCTTACAGATTATACAAGAGGCAAAATCTGGGCTGTAGCCAGTTGCCTTCAAGTACTCCTCCTGAAGCCATTGGCTAGATTAATGTGATGTCATGGAATTTTTAATGAATTGCAGCTGTACAGGTAAGGATGACATCAACAAAATGTTGACAGTGCAGTAGCTTCTGTAAGCAAAAGGTCATCAGGCTGAGAGCAAATTATCATATGATAGCCAGGGCAAGAACAAAAGGTTAAAATATACTGCTTTTATTTGGATCACAACTGACTGATTCAATCATTCCCCATAGCAATTAATTCAGCCCTGGACAAATGAACAACATGACCATGAGTGATATTTCTGAGGTTTTTCCAGCTGCCACCAAAGACTTTGGTGGGGAAAAAATAAAGTGGCCCAATTGGGGTTGGTGTCACTGAGGACAGAGAATTATTTAATTTACTACTTTGATCCTTCTAGGCTGGTGAGGTAAGGGAGCCACAAGGCAAGAAGAATAAAAGTAGTGATAAAATCAAGTTACAAATTGAAAAGAGGAATAAAAATGGAAAAAAAGGAAATAGGAAGCAAAGAGGACAAGATGACACAGACAGAATATACAGGATCTAAAGTCTGCTTTTGTGTCAAAAAAAGATTTTGGAGACAGGTTAAAATGATAATAGAACTGTATTTATCATCTAGCTTAATCTGCTATGTCTTTAACCTGCTTTAGTTTTAAGAATGCATCTGCATTTTAGGCACATAGGCATAATAAAAGTGTGCCTATTTTTGTGTCTAGAATATGGCTTAAATGTTTAGTTGGTTGCTTTTATTGATATATACTAACTGTGCACATACAGTATATGAAGTTGGTAAATCTAATTCAGCTTGCAAGAGGAAGATGCAATAGCTAGCCAGGAAGGAGTAGAGATACTGTACCACAGATTGGTAGTCAGATTGTAAAACTTTCAAATTTATTTCCTTCTCTCAGAGAGAAAATATAGGAGAGTTGCATAGATGCCATTTTTGACTGGATTATCAGGTCATTAATTATCTTTGTCAAGTCAAGCAATGAGTATAAGGTAGTATTCTAATTTTTTTTTTTAAATTCCATCTTCTCCATACAAGAGTATTGGTTCCTGGTGTAGACTGTGAGGATATTGGGTGTGTGCTTATTAGCTGTACTAATTAGAGGCAATGTGGATCCTTTTTTTGCTTTAGCACATGCAACCCTTGTTTTGATTTTAATGACCCACATTTGGCCATTTAATGATTTTAATGGCCTCAAACTAGTGACTGAGATGGAGACTGTAATGACCAATGATATAGATGCAAATAATTTTATGAAGGCAACGGAATAATTTCTCTTTGTAAAAAATAGTTATCTGGCTACCTGTTTCTGCTATCAGTGGTAATTTTGAAAAGCAGCTATAAGATTGATCAAGTTGTTGCTGATCAAGGACAAAATACAGTTGTTGATCAAGGAAAAAATACAGTTATCCCCATTCCCACGCAAATGCTTTTATTTTTATATTAAAGGAGTCACTCGTGGTAAACTAAAGCTGACTTCTGTGCATGATGTTCAAGAAAACCCCTCCTTCATCATGTTATTCTTTTCCTGGGATTTCATCAAGAGACTTACTGTTGCCTCATCAAGGGGATATTCACACAGTTGGCAGCAGCTACTGCTGCGAATGGGACCCAACGTGCCACAAGGGATGGTGCTCTCTGTATGGAGAAAGATAAAGCAATAAGGAGAGGAATAAACTTTACAGGAAAAGGTAAAAAGAACTAAGTAGCAGTACTATGGAGGCCCTGGGCAACAGGCTTCTATTGCATTGACATAAATTCTTGTAATCCCACATTAAATTTGTCTCTTAGAACGAAAGTGTGCAACCTGAAGTTCCAAGGATACAAGAATATACGCCTCTCCTCAAGGTCATGGTTTAGTCTTCCAGAACCCCATCAATAAAAGTCCCCAACAAACTGTGTGGTTTGGTTTTTTTTTTCAAAATATACAGGAGAAAATTGGTACATACATCTGAAAAAAAGTTTAACTGTGTTTAGTTTAACTAAATTCAGTGAAAATGCAAGTTAAATAAAATTAAATTTAGATGTCTTTTCAAGGTTGTTACTATCCTTGAGTCTAACCCCTGGCATGCCATTCAAATGAGAAGAGTGGCCCTTAGCCTAAAAAGCGCAATGTGCTTACAATCTTTGCAGTGGTGAAGTTAGGAAGAAAGAAAGCTTATATTTTACAGTCCAAAGTAAAAAACAAAACCTTTAGAGATAGAAGATATTCCATTCCTCCACACTAGAAGACCCAGGGCTTTTGAAGAAAACAATTATGCTCCTTATAGGTCTAAGCGCCTACACCTACAGGAAGTGGCCAGGGATGCCTTGTCTCATCCTTGGGCCTGCTGCCCCCTTGTGGTTAAAAGTAGTAGCATTTTAGAGTTGTACCTTAGTGTAAAGGTTGAGTCCCACGGCAGTTGCCAAGGCAGTGCTGGTAGCGGTGAAATAAGCCACTCCAATTTGCCTGAATTATCCAAAGGGGATATAAAATAATAAGAGTTGTGGCATTAGTCATTTTAAAACTGCAGTTGTGTAATAAAGGATCCTATCATTCACATGCCTTTTAAAAGGCAAATTTAATCACAGCCCTTATTTACGCTCTTTTCCTTAAACTAGAATGAGCTTTGTGAAAAACTTTTTCTATATGGACTTGTGCCTTCTCATGAAAGATCTAGGATATAAAGACATACATATGTTTTACACATCTGGTTCTGTGACACACAGAGGAAATAAAGAATGGCCATTAAGCCAAAGTAGACAATGTAAGAAAAAAGCCAGGTTAGTCTATGATAGCTGAAAATCACAAGGAATCTGGCCGCCCTTCAGATCTAATTTTTTAAAAAGTGTTCCTTCCTGTTTGTGAGCTACAGCTGTGCCAGACTGCTTCTGATACAAGAAGTCACAGGTAATTGCATTGGGCTGAGCATAAAATCCTTTATATATAGCCACTTCTCAGTTTCAGGTCCCATCCCACATTTACCCCACTCCAGCTGATACTCAGAAATAAAGGTCTGAGTTGAATAAACCATGAAAGCTACATACAGGAGCAGCAAAACTAGATCTATCTCGATTGTCTCTTTCCAACAGTCAACCATTTTTTATTCCCTGAAGTCAGCTCTACAAATACTATGCATCCAAATGATAAAGTACAATGGCTAGCAAAACTTGACCATATACCCACACTATCTACATTTCAAGAAAATATCTCCTCATAGCAATGATTCCAGAGAGTGCTATAGATCAAAGCTAAAGCAAAGCCAGCTAATAGGATCATAAGGAGCAATGGATGAAAACTCTATGTTATCAGGTAATCCTGAAGAGACACTTACTTGACTGAGATGGGGCTAGCTGCATTCCGGTTGGTGTAATTAACAATGGCGTTAAAAGACTGATTTACCCACTGCCAAAACACCACAGCTGGAACTGTTCTGTAAAGAAAAAAAGTAAACATAGGTCCAAACATCTGAGTAGGTATGTGTATCTTCCAGACACCTGAATGCAATAGAACCAATGTTATCTCTCTTTTGCAGCCATGTATTAGCCTTGATAAGACACTGATTTTATTACTATTATAAAATATTTTATTAAAAATCCTACATCATAATCACAAATTTTCTATTAAAATGCAGTTAAAGCAGCTGAAAAGATCCTAGGTAAACAAAGCACAAAGTTCCATATTAGTAAAGATAAAAGAATGGCTGAAGAAAAAGAATAACAAAAGAACATTCAGAGGAAGCCTGCTGATATTACATCTAAATATAGCAATATTTGGTGCTCACCTGAAAGTGAGCAATGAGAATCAGGCAATGTACTTGAGATGCTGATCCTAAGGACCTCAATACTAAATAAGCAACAGATTTTATCTTCCTGGGCTCCAAGATCACCACAGATGGGAACTGCAGCCAAGAAATTAAAAGACGCTTGCTCCTGGGAAGGAAAGCTATGGCAAATCTAGACAGCATACTAAAAAGCAGAGACATCACCCTGCCAACAAAAGTACGTATAGTCATGGCCATGGTTTTCCCAGTTGCAATATATGGCTGTGAAAGTTGGACCATAAGAGAGGCTGAGCGCAAAAGAATTGAGGCCTTTGAATTATGGTGCTGGAGAAGACTCCTGCAAGTCCCCTGGACTGCAAGGCGATCAAACCGGCCAGTCCTAGAGGAGATCAACCCTGACTGCTCTTTAGAAGGCCAGATCCTGAAGTTGAAACTCAAGTACTTTGGCCACCTAATGAGAAGGAAGGACTCACTGGAGAAGAGCCTAATGCTGGGAAAGATTGAGGGCAATAGAAGGGGACGACAGAGAATGAGGTGCCTGGATGGAGTCACTGAAGCAGTAGGCGTGAGCTTAAATGGACTCCAGAAGATGGTAGAAGACAGGAAGGCCTGGAGGAACGTTGTCCATGGGGTCGCGATGGGTCGGACACGACTTCGCAACTAATAACAACAACCTTCCTGAAAGCCATTGCCAGAAAGACCAAAAGTAAACCTCAGAAGCAGACTACAGTAGCTGGGAAGTTCTACAGATATTCTGATTTTAAACTAGCTAGGTCAATAATGGCTTATAATATCAAATTTAATTGAAAATTATCCAGATAATCCTCAACATAGCTGCTCATTGGATAAAATTGGATTCTCATAACATGCAAGACTAAAAACTGGCAATTTGTGGCCAGGCAGGTTGGCCAAACCTAGCCAGTATGAGGAATATAAGCTTGATTAGCTTATGTTATATAGGCCACTGGATATACTGAGAAACTGCAAAGCATTGGGAAACAAATTCTGGCTCCACTTTGTGAAACTAAGTAGATTGTGTCAGTGTCCTAGTTGAAAAGCTATGCAGAAGCCCCAAACAACTCATAATCCTACATCACAGGACTCATTTACACCAATATAATTTATTTTTTACAATGCATGCTTAAGATCCACTTCCAGTGGTTGCTGCAAACCAGAGAGACATATCTTAATATCTTATGTTTTGGACTCAACATTTCATTTATCATATTAACTTCCTGTATAATTTTTAGCCTTTGCAATTCTTTATCATAACAAAGCCACTACATAGAGGTGGTGTTCTAAGACATATAGTATTCTCAGCAACAATTAAGTGGTTTAGCAATGCCATTTTCTGGCCTATAGCCTTGGCATTTCCTTGTGGTCTGCCATTTAAGTCCAGCTTTGCTTAGCTTTGGGGGATCAATCAAAGTTGGCTACATACTTCCTAAACAGCTGCTAACAGATTGTTAGACAAATCCACAACTTGTTTTGTGAAATAGAATTGTTTGCCTTATTTTTTAATTCTTTTGGAGTGAATATTTTAATGTTTGAAAACAAGAGTATGTATGCTTTGAGGGCATAAGGACCAAACGTAACTTTTAAGTTGCATAATAACTACATTTTGAATGTTAGGCAGACCATCCCAAAGGAAGAAGGAAACATTTAAATGAAAGTTAAATTAAAATAAAAGAGTTGATTAGATTATGCCCTTTATACTTAATAATTTTTCTCTCCTGACAAATTAAAAAATTCAGTTGGCCCTGTTTTTAGGAAGAATAGACACATCAGGCTTCCAGACAGTGTGAAGACCTGGGATCTCAGGTTATATAACTCAGAGGTCCCCAACTTTTTGGGCACCAGGGACCGGTTCCGTGGAGAGAGGTTTTTCTGCAGACCAGAGGGGGCATGGTTTTGTGTGCTGCCTACATTTTGCAGATGGGGCTTTGCTTGTTTCTGCAGCCTGGTGACTGGCATGCCACGGTCCGGTACTGGTCCATGGACAGGGGGTTGGGGACCCGATATACCTCTACTCTAAGGTATTGAAAGAACAATTCACTACATACACACAGTCGTAGTTTATGCATGCTGCTAAGTCATACATAGCTTGTTGTTTTTGCATCCATGGTTTCTAGTTTATTTCACTAAGAAGCTAAAAAAGAAACTATGTTGGTTTCTTTTAAAAGAAACTTGCTTGGCATGTTTCCCCCCACTGGTATTATTTTGGATACAGATATGTCAATTGTTTTACTAATAAACAGATACATCACAGAAACATGAAATAGAATGCCCTAGTCATGCCATCAAGACCAAGCCCCTGCTAAGTGCAGGAATCCATATTAAAGCATCCTGGACTAGGGTTAGTATATAACTAGTCTTATTAATTTTTCTCCCCCTCCTCCCCAAATTTAATCTGCACAAAGTACAAACTGTTTATTTCAATCTGGGACCCCCCCTGTCTTACTCTGACATGCAGTTTATCATTAGACTATCTCACAAGCCTTTTTTCATCACCATAAATGTCAACTACTTGGAATTTTATTTTTGTTTTAAAATACACAGTGGTTGCTTGAATTTCAGCATTAATGCAACAGTTTAGGATACGGATAACAAGGAATGTCCATGAATACTGCACAGAGCAGTGTCTGTGAAACAACTGGGTAAGGTATGAAGGAAAAAAGAGAGCAGTGGACCTCAGAAAAAATGCCTCTTCTTACCTGTAAAATTGTAGCATGCAGCCTGTGATAGCCATTCCTCCAGGGACTTGAAATGACATCCTCCCTATTAAATTCATTTTTTCCCCTGAGTCAGGATGGAAAGCTGAGTCATATAGCTTTTTGGCATAGAAAAGCTGTTCCTCACTGGTTCCAGGGGGTACCGAACCTGCCCTAGAGGCGCAAAAAAGAAATATCTTCTTAGCTTTATACATCTTAATAATTTCAGTACACAGCACATGCCTCCGAAAAATTGTGTGGTAGAGCTTCAGAAGAAGCCCTCTCTTGAAACAAGTGTGAGTGCAGGTTGGGGTCTTAACAACATTCAAATTTGTTGTATGCCAAAGCAGCTAAATGCAGCTTGCAATGTGGAGCTGGACGTAAGAAAAGAAACTTTGATACTGAAGGCACAAAATATAAACGTCACACAATTAATATTTATTTATTTATTTATTTACCATTAACTTATATGCCGCCCTTCTCCCCATGGGACTCAGGGCGGCTCACA